CCTGTGCCCGCTCGGCGTTCAGGGGGGGCCACGCCACGTTTCCTCCTCTGCCACTTTGCAAGCGAAAGGCCACGGGCGGCGCCGTGGAGCAGGCCCGCAAGGCGGGTCCGAGCCGGCGTGCAGCTGAGGACGGTCCGCGGACCCACAGCAGGTTCGAGGCAGCTTCGTGGTCACGCAAAGCGGGTGGCACTCGGGGGCGCCCCCGCCCGAAGCCCTTCACTGCGGGCAGCGGCTCCTGGAAACCGGCAAGGACGCTTCAGCCGCGGACTTTGCTCTAGGAAAAAACGCTGATACAAACTGCCCCGCAGGTCACATGGAGACCACGACGCCGCTGCTGGGACAAAACGCACCCAGCGCGACACGCCGCGGTGCTGCTCGGCTGCCCGCCGTCTCCAGGAGCCGCGCCACCCTTGGAGAGCTACGGCCGCTGCGCGCGGTGACGAAGCTCAGGGCCGCCCCTGCGTCCCCTTCCATCCGCCACGCGCACTGCCCGGACCGCGGCGACCGAGCTGTCCCCCAGAGGGATTTAAAACAGACATTCGGCACGTCTGACAAAGGAAAAGAAGACATGGGCCATCAGCAGGTGATCAAATAAAATTCCACTCTTACAAGATACTTAATAAAATACCTTTTTATTTGCCAGGAAACGTTTTGGCAAGTAACATCATCTCTGTCATAAATGCGTTTCTGTAGTACCGGAAATCACTTAAAAATTACATGGGCGATAGGATATCTGTTTTAAAAACCTGACCTTGAACCTGTGCCTGCTGTCACCGCTACCCAGGTGGACAGTCCACCAAGGAGCAAGACCGACAGCCTGCGACTCTGAAAGATGATCTGACAGTTCTCAAAGGGTCACCGGACGTGTCACTGGTGTCGTGTGGCCTGACGGAACGGCTGTCACTGCACCTCCTTAGGGACATAGCGCTTCTCACTGCTACAATGACAGACCCAGGGAAGGCCTGGGCCACGGCCTCACGCAGCTGGGGGCGGGGTCGCCACAATGACTCAGCAGGGGCGGGCGGGCTCCCACTGGGACACAGCTCCGAGTGCGATGTGATGGGATGCTGGGGACACGGCTGAGAACAGCTGCAGAAAACGGAAAACGACGTGTCATTAAGGCTGTTTCCATATTGCAGAGAATTGGCCCCTCGTGTGTGGGGCGCGGCCGGCCTCTCGGGGAGCAGGGCGCTTCCCCAGCAGCCAGAGCGCCATCTTCTTTGGAGACGAAGCTGTTTGGGGTCTTCGCGCTTCCTGAAAGGTCAGCTGCGGTCTCTGTCGACCTCTTCGAATCCGTGTCGCTTCCCTTCCCCCGACGGGGGCGGAGCTCCGAAGGAGAGCAGTACCATCACCCTGGAAGAAGACGACGCCTCTTCTGTCCCTCGGGACTCACTCCTGAACACTTACCGGGCGTCGAGCGTGCAGAGGAAAGGCCTAGAACTGAATGACGAGGAAGGACAAAGGGCCGGGGGCGGCAGGAGCTGTGCATGGAGCCCCCACAGCCGGCTCCGCTCAGGCGCAGCTCCGGGTCTGAAAGGCCGCCCCGGCCCGGGCCGCCACCAGCCCGCTGCCCGCCGGGCACCCGCGGAGCAGCACGTGCCTCGACTCTGCGGCTACCAGGGCCCCGCGGGGGCGGGCGTCACACCCACTCCTGCATGGAGCGCTTGCAGTACAGTATGTGGCGCGGAGCCCCCTTCCTCTTGAACTGGAGCACGGTGTAGACCAGCACCAGGAGGCACAGGGCCAGCGTGCAGGGGATGGCGATGGCGATGGCTTTCACAGTGCTGGCCGTGTTGTCCAACTTGATGACGATGTCTACGTCGTCCGGTGGGCTGTGTCCTCCTTTGTCCCTGTCCATCGCTCCGTCGCAGCCCATGAAGTCCTTGAGGATGGACCTGGGGAACCCGGGCTCGACCTTGAGCATCTGGTTGTTGAACTTCCAGTATTCCTTCCCTTTGTAGAAGTACGTAAAGCCTGGGGAGGGGACAACACACAGGAGCGCTTACTGGCGACAGCGGATCACCCAGGAACTGAACCCCACAGGCCACGCACGCGTGACCCAACCCGACAGGCCACGCACGCGTGACATCTGGCCCCTCGGTGTGCACAGGTGGGAACACTACTCTGAGCCCGGCTGTCGCCCACACGGACCAGCCGTGAGTCCGCATGGCTGTGCCCGCCCTGCCCACGGCGCTGGCTGGGACGTGCCTCTGGGAGGAGGGTCTGCACACTCATGTCCGCGGGGACAGGAGCGCCAGCCCCTGCTCGTGGGCTGCACGGCTGGCACAGAGCCCCACACAGCGCGACAACAGCCCCCTGTGCTGAGAGAAGCTGGCATCGGGGACAGTGCCACACATTCCCGGAGGCTTCCCCGGGGAACATCTCATGGGAGTGGCAGGGCCGCTCCGCGACAAAGCTCTGCCTCGTCATGCGGACAAGAAAGCACACGAAACTGCAAGTCATGCCCTTCGTGGGCAGGAACCTGGGGTCATGTGTCCCGGGGCCGTGGGCGGGGACCTGGGGGGCGTGTCCCGGGGCCGTGGGCGGGGACCTGGGGGGCGTGTCCCGGGGCCGTGGGCGGGGACCTGGGGGGCGTGTCCCGGGGCCGTGGGCGGGGACCTGGGGGGCGGGTCCCGGGGCCGTGGGCGGGGACGCACACATGGCTCCAGGCCGTGCTGGTTCCCTTCTCCTGCCCCCTCGTTGCCTAACTTTCTCTTTACTTAACTTCGCTGTCACCTCGCTGTATTTTATAGAACTTCTCAAGCCATCATTAGCCCTTTCAGAGTAAAGAATTAGCGGAGTGGAGCGTGAATAAGTTCACGGCTCCATCGGCGATCCTGCCGGCTGACGCGCGCTCCACGGCGGCAGGCGGTGCGTGGGGGGCTCAAGGGACCAGCCACACACATGCTTTCCGTCCCGAACCGTCATGACTGCAGATAACGGACTCGGCCAGCTCGAGCAGTCGAACTACAAACGCGTGTGCTTTCCTCGGGAGAAGTCTGTGAACGCTTGTCGTTTTGTTGGGCACGTGTCCAGCCTTTTCTTTCTGTCCATGACCCCTTCGTGTCGAGCTTCTTTGTGACGACACCACTGACTTGATTCCAGCTCTGAGCTGAAGTTCCGAAACAGAGACGAGAGTTTGCGGCCGCAGCCGCTGCGCCGTCGTGCGGGCTCTGCGGTTCGAGCCGAGCGCCTGCGTCCCGCACCGCGGAAGCCGCGCTGTGCGGAGAACTTAGCAAGCGACACCTTCCAGTCCTCGTGGCCACTGGCCGGCAGGGCCAATCACCTGCTCCGTTCAGGCGAGGTGCTGAGGCTCGCAGGTAAGAATCTGCACGGGTCCTGGCGGGAACAGGGTTTAAATTCCTGGTCTAGCTCTGGAGCCTGAAGGTGAGTGACGTCCCCAGCTGGGCCCCTTCAGAGACCCGCCTGTGAACAAGTGTTCCCTGGGTACGCGGCACAGGCTGTGAGAGGTCACCGCTCAAACAAGCCACAGACTGACAGCTGAAGAATTTCAGCCAGGACAGCCCGTCACTTCGGGTGACTTCATTTTGGAAGTCACTCTGTTCAATGCCACAAAATCTGCGGTTGCTTTGAGCTTCGAAGGGCAGTTTTGCAATAACAGCACCTTGCCAAGTGAAAGCAGGTGTGTGTCGCTTCACACGCTTCTGCAGGGAGCTGGTATTTGATCACGCTAATGACATCCAAAGTAGCGACTCGACAAGCTTGGAGGAAGAAATGCAGAGGCCCTGCCAAGCCTCGGCACGTTGGAGGAGCAGAGTTGATGATGACATTGATCTAGAATTCAGCGGACCTCAAAACGGGACGGAAACCAGCAGCTGGAAGTGTCCCCTCTAATTCTTAGTCCAAGCTCATCGGGATGAAGCTGCCGGGTATCGCGCAGAGGGTCGGAAGTTTGTTTTCACACTGATCACGTGTGCAGGCCCATTTTACATAACACTCCACACGCGGGAGTGGAATCGGCATTTTCCGAGGACACGTGTTAGCAGTAAGTCTGGGAGGTGGGAGTTAAGGAATAAAAGTATATGGAAAGAAGTAGCCTGATATCTTGGTAACAGAACTCTGTCGAACCTCGATCCCACAAAATGCATCTCATTCAATAATTTAGGTTTGGTTTTTTGCCACTTATGAAATGTCGGTTGAGAAAATGTTTACATACTCAGATTTTTTTCCCCTTTTAAGAGTAGCTTCGATGTTATGTTCTGGTAGATATTAGACTTCCTAAGAGTAGCTAATTCTTACCAAAATTACTTTTTTGTTGTTGTTGTTTTTTGAGAAATTCTGCAAGGATTTAGTGAGGCTGTGGAGCATCATTTGATGACTTTTTGCCTCCTGTATGACAGAGTCGCTGGTGACTTCTCTGTCCCTCAGTCCTGAGGCGTCATGTGATACTGTCTGCCACAGCTCTCGTCACGACTTATCCGACGTTCCTGACGGCAGCGCCCGTGCCCCGTTCCCACTCTTACGTTTATTAGTAAGAATTTAGATCATGTTTAATAAATGTGAATGAATCAGCTGAATCTTCCAGAAGTATCTGTTAGAATTACAGTTGTAGATTTTAACGGGGACTGGAGAATTAACACACCAAATCCGCACTGTTTGATAACCAGCAAGATAAAACACAACGGTGTTAAACGCAGTCTTCATTTGCCTTAAAGCTGGGCTCCCTAGGGAGAGGACAGACGCCTCGGGGGCGGGGCCAGACAGCAGGTGACTGGAGCAGTGTGGACCGGGCCAAACGCGGCCTCATTACCACAGCTTTAGCTTAAGTGAAAAGCTCACGCCGTTGCTGGAAACACTGAACAGCAAGTGCCGAGAGCAGCCATTCCCCTGTTCTCGTGAATCTAGTATCACGTGGGTTGCTGTCCTTATTTTCGGGGGCTGCGAGTAAAGAGGAAAATAAGAAAAACGTTAAATTATGACGGTTCCAGGTGGAAACCAGGAGACTGATGGATCAGGAGCTACGTTCCCGGGCTTGTCCAGTGTGACAGGGTGGGACAGCGAGCCGGACTCGGCAGGTACCATGCAGAGAAGACATTCTCGCTCATCGTCGTCCGTGGAGACAGCGGGTGCGAGCGCGTCCGCTGAGGCTGGCACGTCCGAGTGTCCAAGCTCAGAAGTGTAATCCTGCCACGCTGATGCTCCTGCACTAGTCTCCTAAGCCAGCCGACGGTTTGCGCGTTCATGAGCGGTAAACAAGGCGACCCGGTATCCGTGTTGGACAGTTAAGTCGGACGAGCCTGCGCGGCGCAGCTGACGCGCAGGCAGATCCTGGCGCTGGCCGGTCACGTCTCGCTGCTCAGGGCAGCACAGCGCCACCAGGCGTCACGTCACGGGAGGGCACGTCCCGCCTCCC